CGTGTGCTCTTGAAAACGAAAATAAATACTGTAACAACATACTTCATCACAACCAATATTACGGTTCTAGGGTTAATATTATATTAAAATAAATTATAATAATTTAATGTAAAATGTTGTTTATAATTGAAAATTTTCATAATGTTAACACACATTATTTCAGTTAATTTATTTGTTTAAAATTAATTGTTGCTTAAATTTTAATATTTGACATTTAATTGACTATAATATTTAAAACTTCTCAAGTATTAATTTAAAATTTTTTAGGTTTTAAATATTAAAATATCAAAAAAATAAAACAATTCAATGTAATTATGGATTTTTTATCTAACAATAAGATTAAAAAGTTAAGAAAATTGAATGTTTATATTATATGATCTTACACGTATCTCTCTTTAAGAAAAGTTTATTATTATAATTATAAATATATTTTTATATGTTTATTGACATATTATTAATTCTACAATTCCAAAAGTTTATAGAAAAATTAACAAAAGTTCTCCTTTACAAAATTATATCATTATTTTAAAATAGCGTATCTATCATTCTGTAATTGTTACAATTAGAGCAATGAGGCCGTGGCTGTACTTCGATTGGATATTTTCATTAACGCCAAAAGGTAGAGAGCAAAAAAAGCTTCTAAAGATATTACATGGATTTACTGAAAATGTAAGAAAACTGCTTAAGATTGTATTTAAATGTTCTACCTATTTTGAAAAAATACGATATAAATTTTAAGACTTTTATATACAAAAATGTTGCAAGATAAATTATAAATATTAATTGTAAGAATACGTTATTAATGCATTCATATAAATTTGTAAAAGAAACATTAATCTTGTATTTACATAGATTATTGCCGAAAGAAAACTTTATCATGAACGCACTAATGGTCAATACTTGAAAAACTTTGGTAATGAAGATTTCGCAGAAGAAAATGACATAGAAACGACTAGAAGTATGTAAAGTAATCAGAAGCTAATTCTTTTATTTGGTCGATGATTAATATTATAAATTATATATACAATTTCAATCCTAAATACAGTTTTATTTTTTTTCAATCAATAATATATAATTAAAATAAAAAAATTTAGATTGTTAATATTATATCGACATGTTTATATACTTTATTATATATAGCACGGAAAAAGCGACTTGCAATGTTGGATCATTTAATAGCGGCATCTCGTGAAGGTTTGATAACTGATTCAGATATTAGAGAAGAAGTCGACACTTTTATGTTTGGGGTATATTTTTAACATCTCTCTACAAGGGACTCTCACAAAGTGCACAATAGTTACAGCATAAAGAAAATTATCCAAGCATCTTGACTGATCCCTTTGGTTCACTTTCTTCAAAAACCCACCTCATCCAAGATCGAAAATAAACGAAATATAAATAATAAAATAATAAAATAAAATTTTTTTTTTTTAATTTTTCGATAAATTATCCAAGCATCTTGATTTCCTATGAATCACTTTTTACCCAAAAATTAAACTGGAAATAAAATAAATATAAATAATAAAATAAATTTTGTTAAATAAGTTTTCCCTACAGGCATCGAAGAATAAAAAAGAATAAAATTTATTTTATAATTTTATTATCTATATTTATTTTATTTTCGGTCTACTTTTTGGGTGGAAAGCGAACTAAAGAGAATCAAGATGCTTGGATAATTTATCAAAAAATTAAAAAAAAATTTATTTTATTATTTTATTATTTATATTTTTTTTATTTCCGGTCTAATTGTTGAGTCGAAAGTGAGCCAAAGAGAGTCAAGATGCTTAGATAATTTTCTCTATGCTGTAGCTATTGTGCACTTTGTGAAGGTTCCTTGTTAGTGTTTTTACAGATTATTTATATTAACGTAAATATGTGATTATAGGGTCATGATACTGTAGCGACAGGTCTATGTTTCATTTTGGCATTATTAGCTGAGCATAAGGATATTCAGGTATTTATGATCAAATATAAATCGCTATTTTTAGAAAAAGAAATTAATTAATTTTAATGATTTTGAAAATTATTTTTTTCATTATGTCAATGAAATTACAATAAATTTTTAAAATTTTATTTTAAATGTTTGTATATATACGTATGTGTTTAAT